CTTGGTTGGGTAGTGTGCCCTAACAGCCAGAGTCCATATAACTCGCTCCCAGCATTGGACCAGTGCGGCCCAATGGCCAGAGTCCATATAACTCCTCCCTCACAAGTGGGGTAGAGTGGCCTAGTGGCCAGAGTCCATGTAACTCACCCCAAGTGTTAGGGCAGTGTGGCCCAATGGCCAGCATCCATATAATCACCCTCCTCAGACAGGGTAGCATGGCCTAGTGGCCAGAGTCCATATGATTCCCATGGTGTGGTGGGATGGTAGGGGGACCAGGCCCACCCTCTCCACTGGGTCACAACCCAGAGCCCTGGTAGTGGCAAGTTCCCCTTGCCACCAGCTCGGTGGGGATCTGCCCAAAACATGCCGAGCCTCAGTGCGGCTCTAACGCCGGTTTCCTCTAAAGTTCCCCTGGGTCACTTCCTAACATAACCTCTGGGTTCTCCAATTCGGGGGGGTCCTCTGGTCTGTTCCCCTCCTGTGACATACTCCATCTGGGCATTCGGGTGCGTCCTGGCTTGGCTGGCCTCCGCATCCTGGAGTGCAGGCTGTCCCTCCTCGGGAGCTGGCAGCATGCCTCCTTCCCCTCCAGTGGTCAGCCCCAACTGAGCAGTTCTGCAGGCTTTTATACCTGTTCTCCAGATGGAGCATGCCCAGCAGAGCCTCAGGGTCGTGGCTTCCTCTGCTAGCAAGGAAGGATGTACCAGTGTGGGGCGGCTCTGCCCCTTCACTGAGACAAATTAGCAATTAGTTTTGGGTAGATCAAGAATGCATTTTTCAGTGAATACATTATTCATTCAAAAATTTAACCAAGCTCTAATTATAAACACAGGAAAAATACATTTCCTGCTATTAATTTACTTTGTTTCTTCTATGAGATAAATGACAGATCTTAGCTGGCAGAAAAGAGGTTGATTTTTTTCCTTATGTGTGATGATGAGGAAGGTTGGAAAAAATATTGATTGTACGAGAGCATGATTCATATCCTTTATATTATCCAATTACTATGAGCTTTTGCTCAGAATAACAGACTGCATAAGGAATTATTGATTTCACTATATAACTTTACATATTTGTGCGGAGGTTGATTCCTAATTCCTCATTTATGTGCATTTATTTGCATTTTGGGTCAAATCCTGACATTCTTACTCAGAGTAGCTCTCAGAACTGCTGAGGAACGGAAAGGGTGGGGAGTTGAAAGGTGACTGAGTCATCTTTCAGAGTAACAGCCGTGTTAGTCTGTATTTGCAAAAAGAAAAGGAGTACTTGTGGCACCTTAGAGACTAACCAATTTATTTGAGCATGAGCTTTCGTGAGCTACAGCTCACTTCATCGGATGCATACCGTGGAAACTGCAGCAGACTTTATATACACACAGAGAATATGAAACAATACCTCCTCCCACCCCACTAGTCATCTTTGCGCACTGTGATCCCCAGGCCATTTTGCATCCATCTAGCCCTCCAGTGCAAGTAATCAATAGCATAAAGAGTACCCTGAAATTCTATTAATGACAACCAGTCTTGTATACTGTATTCTTTCTTAGAAAGTTCTTTTCATGTTTGGCTTTCTGAAAAGTAGGAAAAGAACTCTTCACAGTGGTTGGTGCTTAGGTCTGATGTTTGGATTATAGTTGACTTGGTCATTGGGTTTTTTTTCACAAAAAATAGCTTTTTGAATGATATATGTTTTTTGAATGACACACAGTTTTTCACAAAAACTGTATTATTTGAACTTTTCTGATATTTTTCTCAAAATGAAAAATTTTGTTTCAATTCAGCTCAGAATAGAAAATTTCAAGTTTTCATTTTTAGTTCTCCTCCCCTCTTTCTCTCCTTTTCCTGAAAGAGAAAGGAGGTAAATAAACAAACAGCCTTGAAAATCAGGGTGTTCAATTTCAACTGAACATCCAATTTCCCTTTTGATGAAAAATCTCTATGAAATTTCAAACAGAATTGTTTGCAGAAACAAATTGCCATTTTTTGGCCAGCTCTAAATTATATGCAGCGTGGTCTGATTACCAACTCTCTATGGCTAATAACTCTGCCAGCTGTGATTCTGTGGCTGTTATGACAGAGAAAAACGTTCTCTTTATTTCATTTGCTGCAGTGGTGCAGTTTAGCCGCAAGTCTTTGTTTTGCTAGAGAATGGTTTTGTATTCTATTAATCTGGGGCAACTTTACAGCATTACTGTCCTATTTATTTCAAAGGGACTAGAGTTTCACCCCAGTATCTATTGATGTGTTTTATAAATAACAGATGACTTCAAAACAGGTAAAACAAATCACAGGGCCAAATCCTGACTGGCTCCTCTATAGGTGAGGGCACATTGCTCCCAGTAAGGGTGTATGCTGCCACCCCCCTCACCCCAAGAGCAGCATCTAAAATCCACAACTCAGCATGTGGCTGCTGCTCACGCTTTGATGGCTGTAGAATTGTTTAACTAATCTGGGTAACTTTCACTGTCTCACAAGTTCTGGTACAACTTTCAATCACACTCACCCCCACCCAACCCCCCCCCCCATTTGAGCATCTCTAGCTTAGTATTTATTAGGCACCCTGCTTGCTTTTTCCTTCAACTTCCTCTTTTATTATCATTTGGACAAGTCTCTGGTAGTCTCTTCTTTCCTACTGAGTCATTTGCTTTTGAATTACTCAGCTTCTGTCTGCTTTCAGCTGGGCTCTATTCCAGACACTTTCATGGAAATATGTTCCTTTGATTTAATAATGATTTGTTTTCCTAGGCTTGTTATTTGAACTACTGGTAGTTTATTGTCTCCTGATTTTCAGATAAATCTACCATGTAGCTATAGCAAGCAATTGGAGTTTGTGAAGCTTAGCAGTATAATAGTGTGGGATCATAGGCTAAGGTAAAGGCAGATGCTACTTATGCAGGGCTTATTACTGTGTTAGTGTAGAGGCTGATTGTTATATGATAGGTCTTCAACCTAAACTAGGCAGGGCTGGCTGCCCAGAAGGTCCAAGGTATACATCTAGCCAAATATCAGAGAGTGGGCCAAATTTCAGCCCCAGCGTAATTTCAGTTGTATGAATGGACTAACAACAAGGATGAATTAGGCCCAGCATCAGGGGTCACAAAAGTCACTTAGGTTACCGATCATGTCAGACTGCCTTCTGCTTCCTAATATGCACAGCCAAAGAAGAGCATATGATTACTCCTAAGCATGTACCACATCCCCTTCTTGGGGAGTCGATGCTTATTACACATAGAATTTATTTGAGTTTATTCACGCTAACATTAATACTAGCTGTTTTATTTCATGTCTTTGTTAGTATTCCTTTATTACAATTTTTTCTCTGCTTCTAACGTCAGCTTTTTTCCATTAGCATCTGGAAACATGAACCATCATTCAATGTCCTACTTCCCCTTTTCTGTTCCAGAAGGTATACCCAACCTTTGGAACCTTAAATCAGACATCCTAAATTGGTGATCATCCTTAGAAATTCACCTTGTTACCCCATCACTTTTAGGCCATGGTGTGATATCTGTCCTTTTCCATAGGCATAACAGATCCTGTAATGGTCCAAAAATGGTTCTCTTGGAAAACAAACACCATAATCAGTCACACATGATTTAAGGAAGGGTGGAGTTGGTACCCTGTTCTGACAGAAGTGATGCAATCAATAATAGACATAACACTCTGACATGTAAGTCAGAGACATAGCAAGCCAAAAAGGGGAAAAAAACTACTTTCCAAAATATGGCTTAAATATCAGTATCATGGAGTTTAAATACTACAGTCAAAGGCTTTTTAGGATAAGGTAAGTTGCCCCTTGAGCAGCCTAACCTTAGTGCAGACCAGCCTCCCTCAGCTAAAGTAAAATTGTATCTGGTATTTTTCTTCAGCCTAGTCCCAAAGGAAACCCAGAATGTCATTCACCTTGCTGGTTTCCCCCACAAAGAAAGAAAACCTTCCAAGTTATTCCTATAACTTCTACCTTCTGTCTCTGATTCCTGTGGCTAGTCACCACCCAGCTCCCTGACTTTCCCCCACAGCACCCTTTTCCCCCCACAAAGGTGAAATTGCATCCAGCTCTGCTATTTATAGATCTCTGCAATCAGGAGAAACAGGTGCAGCTGTCATCTGTTCAGAGGGAGAGGACTAGTCCCTTCCTGTCCAACTTCTGGATGGTGTTTATAAACCCCATCGGAAGCATCCTGATACCAAGTGCATATTAGAGAAGCCACTGTGGACACACAGTACCCATGACTACACCCTGTCTTGTTGGTGATGTAGGGGAGTTATATAATACTAGGTGGCAGGAATTTTGCTTGGGCATGCTTTTTCAGCACTTGGATCATGGACCAAAACTACCATTGTAACTGCTTTTCAGACACTCACACTCTCATCTTGCTGGCCTAGATGCAGCTGATGCAGGTCACCAGGTATCTTTGATCAAACATAGCCTTCTCTTTCACACAATGTGTGGTTTTCCCTACTGTGGATAGAGTGTGCTCTCGCAATATGCCAAAATTTGGTTGGGTGAGTATACAAGGGGAGGGAATGGGGTTGCTAGTTACTGCTCAGGAATATCTTCAATAGGTTTAATTTAATTTGCTAGAGGTACCAGTTCCTATGGGTACAGGTTGCATGCCAAGAAGACAGTTTCAAAGAGATTAACAGACTTTTTCAATAGTCTTATAGTTAGGACTTTTCCTTAAACCTGCTCATTGTTCTGTGGTGTTCTTCAATCTTGATTAGATCTATATTGTGAAGAAAGTTCACAGAGACCTAAAAGGTCCTGTAATGAGCACAAATATCTCTGGTACTCAGTGTAATGCAAACATTGACTTTTGGCTAGCTCTCCCTACATCTGAGTCAATGGAGTAGAGGGTAGCCATTTCAATGAATTCAGAGTAATAATTAAGGATTGATATTTTTCATGGCAGTTTTTAAATTAAAGTGATGGCTCAAGCAAAATTGTGGCAAGTTCTAGTAAGTCTTTTAGTTTAAAATAACCTTTTTGTAATCTTTTACCTTTCTACACGTATTGCTCTCGTTCTTGGTGCTCTGACAGTGCAGGAGTAGTTGTAACACCATTTTTTCCTGTGTGTCAGTGGCTGACTATGTTGTCTCACGTCTCCTGTTGCAATGTGTAAAGGACTAAAATAAAAAGTTAAAGAAAAAAACAGTTAATGTTGTGATGAACTTTTATGAGCTGTTATTGTAACATGATGTATTTCAAGGATGGTGGCAGGGAACTAACTAGCAGGGGTGAAGTGGAGGGCTGAAAAATAAGGGAGCTGGGGCCAGTAGGAGGGAGTATCGAAAAGATACAAAAAACAAAGAAGGAGACAAGAAAGCCAGGTTAATGGACGCTAAATATGTGTGGTGAGTGCAGATGGCGAGGAGCTAGTTGGTGTGTACTCATGGATTTTGGCAGGTCAGGTAGCAGACTTTTTTTGTCACAGCCCTGGGATAGAGACACAAAGTGAATGTAAAAAGAACAGGAGTACTTGTGGCACCTTAGAGACTAACAAATTTATTAGAAAAGGAGGACTTGTGGAACCTTAGAGACTAACAAATTTATTTGAGCATAAGCTGTTGTGAGCTACAGCTCACTTCATCGGATGCATTACAACTATTACAACTAATGGAGATTGTGTACAATCACAACACAGCTGATGCAGAAGATCCCTATAGACAGCATACATTCACATTCTATGCATCTGATGAAGTGAGCTGTAGCTCACGAAAGCTTATGCTCAAATAAATTTGTTAGTCTCTAAGGTGCCACAAGTCCTCCTTTTCTTTTTGCGGATACAGACTAACACAGCTGCTACTCTGAAATTTATTAGAGCATAAGCTTTCGTGGGCTACAGCCCACTTCATCGGATGCATAGAATGTGAATGTATGCTGTCTATAGGGATCTTCTGCATCAGCTGTGTTGTGATTATATACAATCTCCATTAGTTGTAATTATTCACCCTGGAAAGGTAGAATGGGTGTGAGCAGTCCATAGTAAGTCATGCACAGCAGACATGTTGGTGGCTACCTGGGTGCCAAAGCAATCCAGACATTTTAAGAGGCCTACTGCCTCACTTTCCAGGCAATCCAGTAGAGAGATGTTTGCAGGTCAGTAGTAATGATTCTTTACCTTTCATCACCAAGTGTCTTGAGAAGCAGCAACCCCCGGAGTGGTTGGTACTGTCCTAGTTCTGTTGCACGTGGAGCCCTCCATAGCTTCATAGGAGACTTCCACTATGAGAGAAGGTTTCAAATATTGTACACACAATTTCTTAAAACTGAAATACAGTTTATAGGCAGTTTTTTTCTTTTCAAACTATCTGCATTTGATCCAACACGGCAGATACCATGGGCTATATGTTAGTGTTTTACATTACAAAGCAACATTGCAAGCAGGGGGAATCTGTACCTTCAGGCTTCTATTTGTCCTTAAGCAGACTGCTTTTTCTGCCCTCTCATTCCGTGGATTTTTCAGCTGGCAAAAAAAAAAAAAAAAAAAAAGACCTGCATCCACACTGAGACTTAAGGGAATCCATTTTTATTAACCACACGCTTCTCCAGGAAGAAAAATATACATAAGAATTATTTTGGTTTGCTAGATGCTACCCTTAAAAAAAAAAACCATACCAATGACAAACCAAAAAAACCTTAGCAGTGACCAGCCCTTGGATTAAAAATATTGTATTGATTTCAAACTACAGTTTTAAGAAGACCCCAGATCTGTGTTAACTCACCTACTTTGTTTTCTCTTAAAATTTCCTGGCGTGCTAAGAGGGAAGAAGAACCAAAAAAGAAAACTATTTGATGTGGTGAAAACAGCCCACAAGAACAAATCTAAAGATTAAAGTTTACTGGATTAGCAAAGTAATAAGGAAATGTGGAGAACAACATATTTTAAATGTGCAGTCATTAATTCGAAGAGGCAAGTGTGTTGTCCAGGACAATAGTACTCTCATGCAACCATTTTTCTGCTGTAAATACCAAAGTACTTCATAAAGAAAGTACAGATCCAAGGTGCCTGTTGGGCCTTGGGCCTCCATTGCCATAGTATCTGAATACCTCACAATCTTCAATGAATTTATCATCACAACATCCTTGGAAGTATGTCTGTGTGTGTGTGTGGGGGGGGGGGGGGGGTTGTTCCATTTTACAGGCACAGAGAAATGATGTGATTAACCCAAATTCACAGAGGAAATCTGTGATCTAGCAGGGACTTGAACTCAGGTCTCACAACTTTGGGGCTAGTTCCCTAACCACTGGACAACCCTTCCCCTCAGCTGGGTAAATAAGGTAACTGAGGCAGAGAAGTGAAGTGACTTGTCCAAAGTCACACAATGCACCAGTTAGTGCAGCAGTTGTGGAACCTCTGACACAGCAACTGCTAAATCCTCTCACTATGTTTCAGAGAGTGAGGGGAAGAGAGGAATTGTTTCTATTTGATTTATACCAAATGTAAAAGGTATTTGCCTCTGGAAAAATGTAAACGAATTAGTGGGGTTTTTAACTGTATTGTGAGTCCAGGATTTCCAAAGTGTGTACTTGTTTGCACATTTTAACTTCTTAGTTACATGTTATTTATTCACAGTTGTGTTCAGTGTGGAATTTAGCACTGTTAGCAGTCTAAAGACTCTTAAAATGCCTAACCATATGTTCTCTTGCTCTTCAACATTTAGTACAAAGTTCAAAATGTGCATCTTGAAAATATTCTTAGACTCATAACGACATGTTGATGCTACATTGTAAATACTGCATGGCAACATTAAAAGTTAATTTGTCTTAGAAGCCACAGCATTTTCATATTAATAGAGAAACAATAGCAAAATAGCAGGTAGGAAAGCAGGAAGAAACATATGATGCCTATTTTCTTGTCATTTATGCCCATTTATTTTTCCCACGGATACATTATGATTATACAAATACATTACAATTACATCAGATTTCATAAGCTAAGCAGGGTCAGGCTTGGTCAGTACTGGGTCAGTGAGAGAGATCTTAAAAAAGAAACCCAAGGGCTGCAAGACGTGTTGATGATTCAAGACTTCTTCCTCTGAGTTTGTATTTATCCAGCATGGTGTATAGGTGTGCTGTGCTGCTGGAGTTAGCAGTTCAAATGAGACATAAATCCAAGCTCCAAATCCCTTGGGGCCATTAAGAATATCATGACTTTTTCTTTATTTTATTTACACATGAATCCATATTTAACTTTTTATTCAATTTACATTATATTTGAACTCTTTAGCTTTAATTTATTTACTTTCATTCTGCCTCCTAAAATATTATGTAGAATTGGCCTAAGATGGCTGGAAGAAAAAAGCAAGAACTGCTGATCTTGCCAAAACAAAACAAAACAACAACCCATCATCTTTCTCACAAAATCAGCGGCTTGGATGAGATTTCTACCACGTCAAGCAAAAATCAAAGATAATCTTTTTTTACAAGGTTTTGGTCATCTCTGAATTGGAAATGGCCCTTTCTAGGTTTGAATCTGAATTAAAGCTGTAGAAAGTACAGTTTGATAATTTCAAAACATTTCATTTCATTTTTTACCTTGTTTATTAATTTATACTAAAAAAGGTTTAAAAACCTCAAATTTCAAAAACAGGAAGTCATTTTGAATAAAAAAATGAAACTGTTTCAGTCTGGAGATTTGTCAGAATTAAGCCTCTCTTCTCAACTGTTTTCATTTAGAAGAATCAACATTTTCCAATGAAAAAACATTTAGTTGTAAAATTCCTGACTAACTCTAACTGAACTCTGTTACACTGCTGACTGTTCTAGTGTCCAGTCGAAGTAACAATCTAATATCAGTTATACAGTCAGAACAGATGGATTCCAACTAAACCAATAAAATCACAATATGTGGAACTATGGATAAGCAACACTAGAATTCATAGAGTTATAGAGTTTAAGGCCAGAAGGGACGATCAGATCAACTAGTCTGACCTCCTGTATATCACAGGCCAACAACATCACCCAGCACCCACACACTAAACCCAACAACTGAAATTATACCAAAGTATTACAGCCCACAGGAAACCAGACTACTCTATGCCATCGTGAGAGAATAGACCGGACTGAGGTGCACCAATGCCTGAGGCTTTTGCCATGGCAGAGAAATGATTCAGTGAGATATACCCAGATAATCCAGGCAAGTGACCCACAGCCACACTCTGCAGAAGGTGAAAAAAACCCAAGGTCACTGCCAATCTAAGCTGGGCGAAATTCCTTCCCAGCCCCACATAGGGTGATCAGTTTGACCCTGAGCATGTGAGCAAGAACCAGCCAGTGTAGCAGCTGAGATACAGAATGCTCAGTGCCACCTTAGTACAGGCACACCCCATCCGTGAAAGTGAGGCTGGCCAGATCTGGCTTGCCCCCACTCCCCACAGAGGCACCAGATAGTTCCATCCCTCTAAGTCTTCTAGCTCTGGGGTTTATACAGGTCTGTGTTTTAAAAAATAAGCTCTTTGGGATAGGGACTGTCTTTGTCTTGCACAGTGTCAAGCACATTGCAGTAGAGGGGATTGAAATTTGAACTTCTGGCTTATGAAAAATTCCAACATTTGGTTTCATCTCAACTCAGAACAAAAAGTTGAAATTTTTCACAGATTGGAAATTAAAAAAAAAAAATTCCAAAATGTTGAAACATTTCATTTTGGTTTGTTGGGCTGACCCAAAGCATTTAGTTTTAAACCTGTTCAACATTAAACTGCATTTTCTCATTGTGATTCATTGCCTTATGGAATTGTCATTTGGGGAAGCCAGATACCGCATTCTCCCTAATAAACCAGAATAAATCTCCCATAATGCACCCATCATATAACTCCCGTGATATACCAAGCAGCCTGGTTAGAGGGGAGTGCCCACATTGCATTACGGGAGATGTAGTGCTCCAGTTAGCTTGGCCCATACAAGAGAATGGGTGTGTAAACTTCAACACCCAGGAGGCAATGCAGTTCAGTGTTCAGTTGAACTGATTCAAAACAAAATGTTTCAGGTCAGTTCAACAAAATAATTCTGATTTGGCTCAAACTGAACTGAAACAAAATATTTCATTTTGGTTATTCCAATGGCAGACTGAAAATTTTCAGCAAAATCAAAATTCCTAGGGGAAAATTTTGATTTGGGGGAAACTGCATTTTTCATCTTAAAATTCCCAACCCAGCTCTCCATTGTAGGCCCTTAAATAATATTGCTACACCATTAATGAATTTGGCAATAGACCGCACTGTTCAACATCATGGGCTGTATTTGTCCCGCCAACATTAACTTTAGCCTCTTCTTATCTAAATGTATATGAAAAAGCATTACAGGGATATCCATTCTTTAAAATTAGTAATTTTATATGGTGGTGAAAATACCATTAATTATGCAAACTTATTCAATTTCCCCTCATCCTCTCATGACATTTGGATAAGTAAAAGTTGTACTGTATAATGGTCATAAATGACTCCTCTGCTAATATAATGGTTAAAATTGTGTACACTTAAAAAGAAAACACACATTCCTACTTTTTATTAAGGTGAGTGCAAAGCCTCTAAGTAAACCAGTACATTCTTCAGTCCCACTCTTGCAATTTATCAAATATTCATGATGATATGTTTTTTCACCTACTGTATAGAAAATCACATTTGAGTTGAAATACACAGAAGGAATTCAATTTAAATTACAGTAGAAAATGAGTTATGTTTTGGGGAAATGGATAGAGAAGAAAGAACTTCTTGGTTCAGGTGATCAGTAATGGGATATGGAACCTTTCACCTCTAGGTTACCACCAGTTCAAATTTGTTTTAGGTGAGTAGAGACCAAAAGTTACTGCAATCCAAAGTCTGTTCTGCGACCTATTCCAAAGGTCTCAATTCAAGAGAGAATTCTCAGCATTGTAAAATCACCATTACAACTGGAAACTGAATTGCATCTTTGCGCTTAGAGGTGGTCTCTATAGAACAAGGTTGAGACAGCAGCAGAAAGAATTCTGTGCTCTATAACATGACTAAATATAACATTTAATTCCCAAAGTCCCAGTCTAGAATCTTTATGGGAGCATTTTAAAAAAATGCACTAGTGACCTCAGTGAGAACGTGGCCTACTGGTTAGAGAAAAGGAGAGGAAAGCAAAGCAGCCAGGGTTTTATTTCTGACTCTGCTACTTGACTTGCACTGTGACTTTGGCACGTCATTTCATCTCTCTGTGCCTCAATTACTTCATCTGTAAAATACGGTTAATAATTATCCACGTAAGTAAAGTGTTTGGAGATTCTCAGATGAAAGATGCCATTAGAATTATAAGTATCATCATTATTATTATTATTAAGAAGAAGTTCCGATATTTTATACATAGCATACCTACATCTAACCTGTAAAGAACAGGTGACAACTAACTGGTGAATAGATCTTACAAATTAAACCCCACCATTAAACTCCCTGGAAAAAATGCAAAGAGAAAATATTAGAAAAAATGTCAACCTTAGTTCAGCTGAAAGAAAAATCAACTCTATAGTACTTTGTGTATTTTTTAACAAAAGGCTAAAACACTCTCATCACATCTGTGCACTGATCTGATCCCAATTCTCAAAAGTAAAGATGAGCCATATGCAACTTTAACAAGCTGTTAAGAGAGTAAAGGAAATATAAGCATGTCAGCTGTCAGTTCTATCCCTGACTAATATATAATCTTAATGTTATGGCAGAGCTTTGCTGTCTTACTGATTGTAGTTACTGTAATGGCAGTGTAAATATAATATAAGCAACTGTCTCCCTTGATGGAAA